ATCAGTTAAAAGGTTTTAAGAATGGTACTGGGGTTTCCCTGAAGAAGAAAGAATTCAGCTCCTTCCAGAGAGTTCCAGCTTGCTCTTCTTGACAAACTCCCTTATGGATTCGGACTTGCCTAGCCAGCTCCCACAATCAAATCAGCCAATTCCTTGTAATAAATCCTTTAATATATATCTCCTACTGGTTCTTTTTTTCCAGTTGAACCCTGACTGATACACTGGCTTAGTACTTTTAGGTGAGAAAAAGATTTCAATTTGCTCTAAGCTTGTTAAGAATCATCACTGTGAGTGGGTGCCCAAAACAACAAACAGGATCTTAGAAACAATATGCACAAGCTTCACTATTTGGGGAGGGAGGGCAACAACTCCAGTGGAGGAGTCCACAGAGGGGTTGTTCTGTCCAGCTCCCACTGCCATAATTTAATACAGACTAACACCTAAGATCACTGTTAGGAAGTGGATCTGGTTTAATGTTAATAACTCTATAAGAAATAAATGTATTAAATAACGTCATAAGTTGTGTTTTATGATATTGTGAGCTTAGTCACAGACATCTACCTAGGAGCTGCCTTAAATATCTGATGAAAGATATTAGACTAGATAACCTCCAAATTTCCCCAATTAATTCTAAGATTCTGCAATTTTACTTTTTTTTTTCTCATTGTATATATTGAGATATAATTTAAAAGTTGTCTCCAGCTTTACTGAGATATAAGTGTAAGGTGTATGATGTGTTGATTTGATACATTTATATATTGCAAAATGGTTACTGCCAGTGGCATTAGCTGATGCTTCCGTCCTGTCACATGATTTTTTTTTTGTGGTGTATGTTATACAATATTACAGTTCTGTGTCTTTGGATGAATTCATACATGCAGGTTCCTGCCATCTGAATTACAACATGAAACATCCCCATCGCAATAGTTTGTTGAGCGACTCTTGCCACTCAGTTCCACCCCAGGGGCACTTGTGGGTCTTTTTTTTTTTTTTTTCCCACGAAGCCCGTTTCTGAAATGCCTCCATGTTGCGTAGATCCTGACTCTGTCTCTTGTCTGGAATCATTGAGAATCGTTACAGTAGGTGAACTTTTGTGTCTGGCTTTGCTCACTAGGTTCTTTGTGGAGATGAAGAACCCAAAGAATTAGCAGTGAAGCTTGTGGAAAGAATTTGGGATTCCGTAATGGGACATAGGGAGTAGATGTTAGGATCTCAGCAGCAGCCGAAATGGACTATTTTGTGGCCAGAAGGATGGTCTGAGAGAGCCTTAAAATTGGAGCATATGCTGAGTTGGAAGGAAGGTATGGGGTGATCTATATAAACTAGGGAAACAGGGTAGGCACCATCGGGGGCTCCTGGAGCGGCATCCGTGTGTCTCTTGAAAGAGCTGGTCTTGACTTCCACCCCAGCTAATTGCTGTTGTTTGGCTTTCTTGACTTTTGCTCTGTGGTTCTTGAACCAAACCTGCAGTACGGTGGGATGTATCTCCAGTTTCGAGGCCATTTCTTTCTGAAGGCTGGGAGCGGGGTATGGGTTCCTGCTGAACAAGAATTCTAAATCTGCCAGTTGTTTCTCAGTGAACATGGTTCGTTTCCTTTGTGAATGTTTCTGATCCTTTCCTTTAGGAAGGTCCCCTGTGCCTGCCATCCCATCTAGCTGGATCCCCATGCTCTGGTCCTGTGTCAAGACTGCAATTTTACTTTTAATACCTATGCTTCTATTGTATGGCACTAAAAGTCCTCATACTTGTAGTTCATGCTAATTTCCCTTGTCTAGAAAACCCGGTGTGTTGCATGTCTACTTATTCGCCTTTCTAGACCCACTCCATCCTGCTCTATGCCCTGGGACACTAACCCATATGGACTGCATCAATGGGCTCCCTTCCCCTCCAGCTTCTGATTAAGTTTGGTTGAAAGGCACCAGTAGGAAGTATGAAGGGAAGAGAGTGAGGTAGGGATATTTATTCCCTGGCTCCCCAATCTGGTTTGCTGCAGGCTGGCTTTATCTCTTGTCCTGAGGTCATAGTTCTGTTAGAGAGCTCTCTCCAACATACCTCCTGGTTTCCTTCTCAGCATTCTAGTAGCCACTACTGCCTGTGACCGTTTAGGCCCAGGGTTGCTAGCTCCATTGGTGTTACTAGCCTGGGGATTACTTTGCAGTTTCCTTACATCCTGTCTACACTTTTAGAAATAGACCCTTTATTAAACTTGTCTCAAATGACTCAATTTAAATGTGCCATTTGCTTCCTGTCAGAACTCTACCTGATACTTCAAGTTAACACACATATCAATATTTTTATGTCATATCTAGAACTCTTCAACTAAGCAGTGAAGCAGTCTTTTGGAATAAATGTGGAGGAAAATACTCTTAAGATATTAAAATTAGAAAAATTAAAAATCTTTATCAAAGCAAGACTCTCATAAAAAAATTACCAACTGGAATCAATAAGAGTCCTTCCAGCTCCAAAACTAACCTCTCTCTCCTCCGGAATCCCTTAGTTCTCAATTTCTATCTGTTGCCTTTATTAGCCATGATCACCTTTCTAGATGTATTTCTGTCAGAAAGAAACATTTTCTGATTTATGTAAATTTCAGAAATGGATATTATGATTGTTATAAGACAGGGCTTCTTAAACGTCCTTAGGACATTTAGATAGCCTGTGATGAATGCATGTACATTCTCTGGAGGTCTGGAAAACAGGAAGGCATTTCTTTGAAGTCTTAGGTATGATATCAAAATATGAATTTTGAAATCTATTGCATACATTATAGCTGTCAGTTCTAAAATAAAGATGTTTTCAACTATTTGTTATTATTTACTTCCCTTTTAAACCTTCAGGTAAATTTGGTCCTCAGGAAATTGCATCATCTTTATCATATAGTTCCATATTTGCTCAAAGCCATATTGAGAAGCATGAGATTAAAATTTCTTGATATTGTTAGCTTACTTTTGTGAGAGGCATATGGCATAATGGCTAAAAGCTAGAGGACTTTGGCACCAGACCATCTGAGTTCAAATTCTAGTTTTCCTACTATTTTCTGTGATGTTAAGCAAATTATTGCTCTGTGCTGCAGGTTTCACATCTTATCAAGTAGAGATAATATAACCTATCTTAAAATTGGGTAAAACACTTAAAGCAATAGGGAAAATGCTTAATTAGAAATAGCTTGTTATTTATTATTCTTAGGTGTAATATAACCACTTCCATATAAGGAAAAGAGTACTTTTTTGAAGGGTGGCATTACTTTCCCTTTTAATTTTTGTCTTATTTTTTAAATTCCAGTATAATTAACATACAGTTTTATATTAGTTTCAGGTGTACAATATAGTGATTCATTTATTTACTCTTTTAGACAGCAGAAGCTCCTTCAACAATCTCTACCTACCTTACTTGCCAAATTAATCAATACTTTTCATTTCTTCTATCCAACTTATTACTGATGTCCAGAGCATACTGAATGCTTGCAGATTGTGGCATTCTCTTTAGTAAATGTGTACATTTCTGTTCCCCCACCTTGCATGCTTACCAAAGATCAGGAGTATTGGTTCCCAAACCTATCTGTGCCAGTTTTGCTGTTTATAACTATGGAATTTAACTAAAAAACATGTAATTCATCAGTCTTACACAATTCACAGTGCTGGGTGTTATACGCAAGCAATGAATCATGGAACACTGCATCAAAAACTAATGATGTTTAAATGGTGACTAACATAACATAATAAAACAAAATTTTAAAAAATTTTAAAAATTAAAAAAAGACAATAATAGACCAAAAAACAAAACCATGTAAACTGATTACACCTAAGTGCAAAAAGAAAATGTGTTTCTATATAACGTTATTGAAAAACAGTGAGAAAACTTGATAAAGGAGAGCCATTAAAAGTTATCCACTTTAATTGTAGGTGAAGCATCTATAAATGACTGAGGAAAAAGTCTGCAAATATTTGGAAGGATTCTGCTCACAGATTGTTCCATAAGTGTCTTTAGTTCCTTGTTTCATTAAAAATTTGAGATGGGAGATCATGGATGATGCATTTGAGTGTGGTTTATACTACAAATGCCAATCAGTAGACCAAAGCTAAATAAAAGGCAAGTCATATTTCTATGTCAAAAACTGGTCAAATGAATGTTTCAATGTATATGATTTAGATTTAAAATAAATTTAAGATATGTACATATTTTTATAATGCCATTAAAAACTGATATCCTTAATTTTTCTCTGCCAAAGAAGTTTCCCTCTCTTAAATAAGATGTTAATAAAATAGCAATTCATACATAACCTGTTACAAAAGAGAAAGCTTTCATGAAACAGACTTAAATGCTAGAAATGATTCCTAAATTTTATAATTGAGGGTCAGTTAACTCCTGTACATAGTAGCTATGGAAACATTGTTTATATTTTCTAGACCCTTCTTGCATCCAGAGAAATCTATCAATTAACTGGCTATGTCTTTACTAGGGAGAGATTTAGATTGCTAGACTAGAAAAAAAAAGGACACTATATTAATTTTGGTTTTGTTTAAAGTCTGAGTGTTCCTATTAGCAGAATAACTGATAAATGTTTTATCCACATAATTTTGGAGACTTTTTTTTTTTATCCAGGAGTCCTAATTATCAACCTTGCTTATTACCATCAGAACAAAATCTGAATCTAAAAGAAGCTGAAAAATTTAAAGCTTTTGTGTATATGAATATTTATGACTATATTCTAAGACTTCTCAGAAAGTAGCTCTAAAATTTTATTTTAGATTACATGAAGTCATTTTTAATTTACATGGTAGAGGGAATTCTACTTACAACATTTTTTTAGAGATTTACTTATTTATTTATTTGAGAGAGAGAGGGAAAGAGAGTGTGGAGAGAGGGGCAGAGAATTCTCAAGTAGACTCCATGTTGAGCCTGACCTGGGGCTTGATCCCAGGACCCCAAGATCATGATCTGAGCCGAAACCAAGAGTCGGACACTTAACCGACTGAGCCACCCAGATGCCCCTACTCACAATGATTTTTATTTCTTTTCGAGAGATCTTTATTTTGAATTCCTTTTATTCTTAATTTACGTTGAATCTTCTTTTTTCCTAAGGCATTTTCTCTTTGATAGATCACTTTAATCAGTTTTCTTCGTTCCAATATGTGTGATAAAAATTGTTTGAGTTCATTCGCTGATACCTACAAAGAAAAAGATTTTTGCTCATTTTTTCATGGGTAACTATTCTTTTTCTTTCTTTAAAAGATTTTATTTATTTATTTTACAGAGAGAGAGAGACAGCGAGAGAGGGAACACAAGCAGGGGGAGTGGGAGAGGGAGAGGCAGGCTTCCTGTGGAGCAGGGGCTTGATCCCAGGACCCTAGGACCATAACCTGAACCCAAGGCAGACGCTTAACGACTGAGCCACCCAGGTGCCCCTCATGGGTAACTTTTCAAAATGAAACAAGAACATGAAAATTAAAAAAAAAAAAAGAACATGAAAATGTTATATGCTCATGTTAAAAATACTATTTAATGCAATCACTCTAATTGCTGCTTTTTTTAAATCCAAATGATAGATGACTTACTTCACTTTAAGAATTCATATATTTTATGATAAAAGCCTTTTAAACCTATCGCATTTTCATCTGAACTGCAGAGCCACACATTAAAAACTAAATGTTATAAATAAAATAAAATAGTAGGAGAATTTAACCAATTTTACCCTTCTGGTAAGTTGTCATGGTAATACCAATTGTGTGAGTTAAAAAAAAAAAGGAAGATGTTGGTATTCCTTACACATCACAACAAATTTATAATGGGTGGATAGTATAGAAAATCTTGACTGTATGGAGAAAAATGTAAAAAAATGTTTCCCAAAGTACTTTCTAGAAGTTATATAATTAATCTATTTTAACTAAGGAAAGGGATTTGGAAGGATTGCTTTTGAGTAGTAGAAAATAATGAAGATTTTAAGAGAGAAAATTGAAAAGCTTTATGGAGATACATATTCATGATTTACATATATACTTTTTCAGGGAAAATTATATTTAGAGACTGAAAAAATTCTTTTATTTGTCAACCACTACTTCCAAGAAGAGTAAAGGTTTTTATTTGTTTGCTTTTTTATACAATATCACAATTTAAACTCCCTCTTTTCAAGAGCACTATCTGGAATGCTTAAAATGCTTTCCTCAGTAGTAGCAAAGGCATCAGAATGGTGTGGCCCAGAGGTTAGAGCATGCAGGGACATGAAGTCACGTAAGGACTTTAAAAAAAAAAAAAACCGGGGGCGCCTGGGTGGCTCAGTTGTTAGGCGTGTGCCTTCGGCTCCGGTCATGATCCCGGGGTCGTGGGATTGAGCCCCGCGTCGGGCTCCCTGCTCAGCGGGGAGCCTGCTTCTCCCTCTCCCACTCCCCCTGCTTGTGTCCCCTCTCTCGCTGTGTCTCTCTCTGCCAAATAAATAAATAAAATCTTTAAAAAACAAACAAACAAACACTAAACCAGCTTTATTGAGATATAATTCACATACTATAATTATACATGTATAATTGTACATTTAAAGTGTACAACTCAGTGGTTTTTAGACTATTCACAGAAGTGTGGGACTAGCTCCAGTCAATTTTAGAACATTTTTATCACCTTGAGAAGAAACCATGAGTCCTTTAGTTAGTAGCCTCCCTATTCTCCCATTCTCCCTACCCCAGCTTCAACAACCACTAATCTATGCTTTGTCTCAATGGATTCCCCTCTTCTGGATTTTCACATGAATGAAATCATCTAGTATATGGTATAGTATATGGGTTTTTGTGACTGACTTCTTTCACTTAGCATAACATTTTCCAGGTTGATCCATGTTGTAGTATGGCCAAATGATATTCCTTACATGGATATACTACATTTTGTTCATGCATTTGTCTGCTGATGGACATTGGAGCTGTTTCCAATGTTTGGCTATTATGAATAATGGACATTCATGTACAAGTTTCTGTGTGGATATGTAAGGATTTTAAATGTGATTCTTCTTATTGAAGGGTGGCCAGATTAAGCAATTAAAAATACAAAATGCCCAGTTAAATTTGAACTTCACACAAGCAATGAATTTTTTTTAAAGTGTAAGAATGTGACCAGTATTGCATGTTAACAGACAGACCCCGTGTATAATGGCTCAAAATCAACAGATGGGTGTTCAAGTCAGTGGCAGCTCTGCTCTGTGCTGTCATTCAGAGACTCAGGCAGGCAGAGGCTATGCCAAGCTTCAGCATGTGGATTCCAAGGTATCCCTGAGCATTTGCATCTAGCAGACAGAAAGGGAAAGAGCATAGAAGATCATGTGCAGAATGGGGTTTTGTTTTGTTTCATTTGGTTTGCTTCTTTTTCTTTTCTTTAATAAGCCAGACCTGGAAGTGGCACAGGGTGGCATACATTTTCCATTGGCTGAAACTGTCACATGGCCTCACCCAAATGCATGGGGAGAATGGAAACATAATGCAACAGAACAAAACAAAACAAAACCCTGCTGTTCTGAGAACTGGGGAGATAGCCATAAACAAACAAACAAACAAAAAATTCTCTGCACTCAAAAAGCTGATGTTCTGGTGGGGAAGATAATAATCAACTAATCAACTGATAAAAGCAGGGTTTTCGTTTTGTTTTGTTTTTGTTTTTAAGAGTAGGGAGGGAATTGATAAAAGTTGGTCTTATTTGGTACAGGATGGTTAGGGACAAGGTCTCTGATAACATTTGAATAGACCCCTATGTGGGTAAGGAGGAGTTAGTCCTACAAATACCATAGGAAAGAGACTTCTGGCAGAGGGAACAGTAAAAGCAAAGGCCCTGAGGTAGAAGCACACTGGTGTGAAAGTGAGATGGTGCAGCTGCAGCAGAATGGGGTAGGGAGAGTAGTAAATAAGGCAGAAGCAGCTCTGAGGCTGGCATCAGGATTCTGAACTGTGTTCTGTGTGAAGGAGAGACTCTTGGAGGGTTCTGAGTAGAAGAGTGATATTGACTGACTTAAATTTCAAAAGGATCACCCGGCTGCTATATGTTGGAGAAAGGGTGGGAAAAGAGAGGTTCCTGAAATAAACTGGGTGAGAGTTGATGGTGGCTGTGAAGTAAGATGATCGGGGGAAGTGGTGATAGTGGTTGGTTTCTGAATGTATTTCAGAGGTATTACTGGCAGGATTTTCTGTTGAAGGATTTATAGTGTATATTTTAGTTTCAAACAGCAAACCCAATGGAAGTATGTTTCTAAACTCTAAGTTTAAAGTATGTGCTTTGGAAGTGTTTTTAAACTCCTAAGGGCCATTAAAGATTAACCATAGCCCTCCAGCAGAGTGACATGATGTTCCAATAATGCCTTACCTAGCTCTCTTGCCTCTTTGCTTCCCTGTCTCCCAAAGATTCATGGCTGCATGAGTTTTTCTTAAGCATCTGTTTGAACATATCACTGCCCAACTCAGAAACCCTCAGTTCTCAGTGACAACAGGATAAAATCAAAGTCAAGTGGACAGAATCTAATATTCTTCACAGTCTAGCCTAAAAATGTCATAGTAACCTTACTTCTTACTACTCCCACACCTACACAGACATCCACTACAGTCAAACTCTTCTACCTCCTATTCCCCAAATAGAAGGGCTTCTTTCCTACTTCCTCGTCCTTGCTTATTCAGTTTTAATTGATCCCTCTTTCCTATTATCCCAAATATCACTCCTGTTCCCAGGCCTACCTCAAATTCCTTCTCCCCAAAGCCCTCCCATTTCACTCTCCCACAATGATCTCCCTTCCCTCTGACCTTATGGTGTCTTCCCTTCTTGGTTAGCAGTAGCTCACTGCTCTATGGTCTCTGCAGCTGAGATCATTCCATAGCATACAGTTCACGTTTTATCTGCTCAATTAATTATATATGATTTAGAAACTTTTTTGTATAGTTCTCATCTCAAGTAGAATGTCTTGAGTAAAGGGGATCCTAATAAATGTGTGGATTTCTTAATTGGGGGAAATCCCCTGTTTTCTTAAAGCACAGGAAAGGTAGAAGCATCCTCTTCTAAGGGAAACTAAACTATCTGTGGGCTTGGAGAAAAGAAGGTTTGAATTTATCTTACTGTACATTTAATCTTATCTGTGGCTAGATCATGCTTTTTGTGGCTACAGCCATTTCCAAAGTAGGACCTAGTCTAATGGTACTTTGCCTGAAAGCAAAAACAAACACGCAACAACAGTCCTGGAGTGCAGAACATTTTTTAATAGCTTCCTGTTTAAAAATGTAAGCTGTCTGCTAAGGCTTGAGGTTTGACTTAAGGTTTTTTACATTGTTTTGTTTGGATGGTAATTAATAAGTTTTATTCTTAAAACAAAACACAAGTTTACTTAAAAATTTTTTTTCAGGTTTTTATTTATTTGACAGAGAGATAGAGAGAGAGCACAAGTAGGCTGAGCGGCAGGCAGAGGGAGTGGGAGAAGCAGGCTCTCTGCTGAGCAGGGAGCCCGACGTGGGGCTTGATCCCAGGACCCTGGGACCATGACCTGAGCTGAAGGCAGCCGCTTAACTGACTGAGCCACCCAGGCGCCCCACAAGTTTACTTTTCAAATATTTTGATTACTTGTTAACATATGAACAGATAACTTATTCAAAATTGTTCACCATAATTACTCATACTCCAAAATAAATGTTATAGATTTTAAAAGTTTCATTTACATTTCCTTCTTATTTTCTGTTCACCACTAATTAACTATGTCTAACTGTGGGTAAGTTAATTAACCCCTCTGTGACTCAGTTTACAATAAACATAAATAGTAAATGTAAATGTAAAATGGGGTAATAATATTGCCTATATCACTGGATTGTTGTGAGGATCATTTAAGTTAATACGTGTGAAAACCCTTGTGTATAGCAAACAATCCATAAATATTAGCTATTATTATTATTATTATATTGACTATATATGTACCCTATGTAAATAAATGTTACTATATTTCTGTTTCAGATTCTAAACTACTAGGTCCTAGGTATTTTGGCTATTTAATTTGCTCTGTTCATCAGTGAGGTAGGATGTTTCAGCCTGGGATAAGCAGAATATCTAAACATCTTTTCATTAGCAGACCATATTTTTATGATATATATTTTCTGGACTAATTTCACTTAAGGACAGTAAACAACAATTTTAGCATATCCTAGGACCCTACTGCTGCCAGAGATGC